AATTTAACGATCTTCGTCGTCCCAAAATAATTATATTATATTGTAATTCTATCATAATACAAAATATATAAAATGATTTAGATGATAGTCATTATCGTATGGGCTAGTGTTATTATTCAAAAATTTAGTAATTAAATTGAAATATACACAAAGAAATCTGATATCTGAAGTAAATAATATTATTACGTCTGTCTTGTTTAAATTATCTAAATATTGTTAATGGAAATCCGAACGATCATTCTAATATTAATTGAAAATATACAAATATAAAATATACAATCAAATTAGGGTTAAGATTATATAATTGAAGCTATATATTTTTACGTATGCATGCAATGTAATTACCTTGTATTTGAATAATTTTATAATACCGAATAAGCTTATTAATTATAACATTATTTTAAAAAATTATTCCTGAAAATTTTATAATCGCTTTTTTACTAGAATTTTAATTTATTAATTAAATTATTTTATAAAATTAAAAATTACATTTAGCCGTTTCTTATTTCTGAATAATTTCTATTTCTAAGAGGTTAATAGTAAAACTTGAATGCACTATCCATTAAAAATTACTTTATTTCATGTATATTCAAACTTGGATACTATTTTTATTTTATTGTTCAAATTTACTTTTAAGGAAACAATGCGTGAGACGACTAAAAGTAAAAAGTTCCATGTAGTTTTTGAGGAACAATTTTTCAACAAATGTTTAAAAGAACTTCATAGGTTTTCTTAAAGTTTATACGAATTCCACTTAATGCTTATTAATTTCTCTTGCTTATCTAATTTTTATTGACATGAAATTATAAATTATTATTATAATTTATTATTATTTAAATATTAATTTAAATGTTCAATTAAACACAATTACATAACGATAATTTTACCTAAATTTATTATAAAGTTGCTATCTATATTATAATTTATTCTATCATTAAACTATAATATGTATATATTTCTTTTAAAATAGTTAATTATCAAAATACCTAATTGTAAATATTAATTTATAGAATCGTTTCTTTTATTGGTGAGCTCAAATTTACGGATTTCTATCCTTTCAAGTTGGTAGACACACACGCGCGCCCGCACACACACACGCACGCACACATATGTATACATATTTATATTTATATATACATATATATAGTATATAAGAATGATTCAGGGAGAGTTAGATAGAGAAGGCAAATTGAAAAGATGACGTAAGAATAGAATATGGTAAGTTAAGCTATATAATGTAGAATTGAAATTTTAATAAGAAAATTTGAATTCCAATGGGTGATATCTCACTGATAATATTTAAAACAGATATAATTTATTACACAGCTACTTAAAATCAATTGTTTATATTTTATCAAAGGATGATAGAGAAAAGTAAATTTCACAGGAGCACTATGGTGCCTCATAAATTAGAAATTTGAACTATCATAAATTTATTTGTCATATTTTTTATTTAATATTTATTCAATATATATATATATATATATATATATATATATATATATATATAAGTATAAAAAGTTACTTTCATTAATTTAGAATTAAATAATTAGAATGATGTAATTAGAATTAAATTTATTACATATTATCAACACGCCGAATATTTCCTTTTCTATACTGTGAAAAAAATATTGTTCAAACAAACTCTCGAAATACCTTAGTTAAATATCCATTAAAATCAGACTATTTAAAGTGTTTGTAGTTACCTACATAAATATCTAGAATATTAGTTTATTACTTGTTAAATAAAATCTTCTCTATTTGTATAAATTGTTATTATATAAGGATTTTATAATTATTAATTATCTTAAAAGTATCGGGGAGAAATAAGTCCTTTAAATGTGAGTCCTTTAACTTGTCATAAAAAATTTTTAATACCATAACCATTCAAATGAACTTTTTAACTTTATATTAACCGCTTAATGATGAAAAATTATATAAACTTCCAATTACTGTAAATATATTATATATCGGTGCCATCTACAATGCATTGGTTGAGTGTATGACAATGTAATCCAAATTCCAACGTCTCTCACAGTTTTAAAAACTTTTTATGACAGCAAAATATTTGCAGAGTTAAAAGAAGCAAAACCAATATAATACAACATGAAAATTAAATGTCGTTAAAAATCTTAATATGATGTAATGTATTTGAAATACTTATTAATATATATATATATATATATATATATATATATATATATATATATATGAATTAAAGAGTTCATAATAAAAATAAAAAGTTGGTTAATGTTATATTGCACAATCATCGGTCCCTTCTACATCCGTGGCAGTTTATATTTTAACGCAAAGAAATTATTACACACTACATATACACGTTGATAACAATTATAAACGATTATGCCAAGAATTAAATCTATTAATATTTATTAATCAATCATGATACAAAAGTAATTTAATAGATTGATAATGAAATATGGAAAAATAAGATTTTTTCATATAAAATCAAAATATATAAGAAAATTAATATTATTTTTAGATAATTAATTATAATATCCCAATGTCCTTATAAACTATAATTTGCTATAAATTTAAAAATTTTAGTTAGGAAAATTAATAATATTCATAGTTCAACTTATCTAGATAATGTTCCATATATGTCGCTTTTCCTGCGTCAAAGGCATCAAAACTAATCTCTTTTGGGCTTCATTTATGTCTACTAAATGTGTATACAAATGTGTGAATTAGTCAAAATTTATGCACAATAATCAATTATTACCTTTATCTTGTTTACCCTCTTCTATTTATTTACTCTGCATATTATTTTTTTGTAAACAATACAGCATTTTTTTATTACTTTATACAGTAAATAATATAAAGACTATTATTTTGCAAAATATTTTAATATAATATAAGAAATTGGTCTTTATATATTCTATTATACAATACTTAATAGGTAAATATTGTACTGCTGTTTAATAAATAGCTTTTAATATAACTTTAATAAAACTTTAATATACCAAATAAAACTTCTTGCGCAATTAAAAAAAAAAAAGTTTTAATATTAATAAATATGAAAATATTGAAAAAATTATGTGATTATGACATAATATGTTTAATTTTACTATTAAACATATTATGTCTATCGTTCGATTGATTTAAAAAACACGCGTTCACATATGCATATATATATAGCTAGTAGCTATTGTATAATTTAAAATAATAAAAGAAGATAATTTATTCAAAAACACGCTGACTAGAATATTTTATTCCATGACTATTAACATTATTGCAATAACATTTTATTGCGTTCTTTGAACGTCCTATTACTGTTTGATATAATTATCTTATAAATTGAGTATTTGTTTTAATGTTAAAAAGATGGAGTGAGATATGATTCTCTTGATCTTTCTAAAAAAGGAAAATTGGTTCTTTTCCTTTTTCGCCAGTGCTGGTGGAGCCTTTTCGTAACTGCGGCACCCTTGCTTTAATAGCTCAATGAAGCACATCGCGTGTCACGTGGTTGTGGCGCTTCCCCTTTTTTTTATTTCATCGACTTTGTCCTTCATAGTTTCGCAGTTGACGTCACGCTCGGAGATTTTTCCGCGCAACCCTTAATATGCATGCTTCTCAGTATGTGGGGGACGAAATGCAAAGTTCACGTGTAATTTGGCATTAAGATAAAATTAATTTTAAAAGCAGGCTTTAACTTTTATATATCTTTAACATTTTAAATTATGTCAATTGTTAATCTACTCTGGCGAATGATTATAATACATCTAGTAAATTCTTCTCGAGTGAAGCAGTTTTTTAATCTTATGGCATAATCGTACAAAAGGTCTATATGACTTTTTGTAATAAATTATGAGATAAGATATAGTACACGATAAAACTTATAATAAAATGCTAATCGTTAAGAATAATTTAAAATTAATTGTTTACGTGCATGTGCATCGTATATTACTTTAGTTAAACAAGAGTGGCATTTAAATAGAATTAATGAAAATAAGTCGTGTATGGCAGCACGATAGTATGGAGCGAATTATTGAATATTTGACATTTTTACTTACCTCGTTTGTTTTAATAATAATAACAACAATAATTCAAGGAATAATTTAATGCTAAAATTAAGAAGGAATGTATAATGTAAAAAATTATAAAAACATAATCAATATTGTATGTACATTGTTGTAACAAACAATGCGCGTACAGTAGATTATTATGCGTCGAAGAGAATATTTATTAGAACTTTGAAATCAGGTTTGGAAAGAAAAGTCATAAATTCAATTGTCCTCACGAAATGTTCTCTTTTTTCTTAATTTTATTAAAGGATATATATATATATATATATATATATATATATATATATATATATATATATACATATAATTTTATGGGATAATATTTCAGTAAAAATCAAATAATAGTAACAACTACAAGCTCGATAGTTAAAATATTATTTATAATTTAAAATATGAGCGACAACACATGATATAATCACATATCGAATACACAAAAATTAATAAAAAAATATAGAAACCAAATGCAGTGAACATTTATTAACTTAATATTTATTAAATGCACTTGAAATATAGACAAGATTGCTCTCATTTATTGAACAATTTCTAGTTATTTTCAGTATATCTTGAACACACTCATAATATCACAAACAAACATTTTTGAATTCCATTTTATATTATATGACACGAAGAATGTCATAATATAAATATACTTAGACAATAATATACTGTCTGAATTTATGTAAACATACATAACCATATAAGTAGTAACCATACAAAATCCAATTATGTTTGATTATTAGTTATCTCTTTTTTTCCTTTTTCTTCGTGTTTTTTTTTGTTTTTGTTTTTTGTTTTTTTATTAATATTTGACTAAACGCCTATTATATTCTTATTCAACTATAAATTAATAGAGAATAGTGGCAACAATATAAACGAGTGTAAAAAAAATAATAATGAAATATAAATTATATTCAAATTGAAAGTTTTTTTTTCATTGTACTAATTTAAATGCAATATAAACTCAGTTGCGGATAGCGTTAAAATTTTGCTATAGAATTTCAGGTTTCAGAATCCTCTTAAAATTTCAATAATTCCAGTCTGTTCAGAGGACGTTCATTCATTTATATAGAATTATGGAAGCACTTTAAATCCTACACTTTGAACATCAGGAACTTGAAATGGAGTGATATAATTCATGTAACAATCACCAAAAGTATTGTACATCTAATTAATGTAAAATTAATCATAAATAGATCCTGAAATATTATATATTTAAATGAATATTGTATACTCTGATTATAAATATAGTTTTATTCATTATGTCAATAATAATCAATAATTTAAGTGAAAATATTTTTAAATACAATATATGATATACAGTATTTTCAACTTGAATTATTAAAAATAAAATATTAAATTACATAATGACTAGACAAGCTCAAAATTAGTAAGTATAAAAATAAAATTATAACAAATTAAAAACTTTGAAAATTTCAGAAATCAATTGTATAAATAATACATTTTTGGAAATAAGAGTTGAGAATAAATGCAAATATGCGACGTAAATGAATTCGTAAAAATAAAAATAAATATTTATACGGAAAAGTGCTCAAGATTAAAAAAAATTAATATAATGAATCGAAATATTTTATATAATATAAAATATAGTACTTAATTAAAATCTTATTGTAAAAATGGGTTTTTTCTTATCCATTGAAATTAATTGAGTTAGTAATGAATATTGGATTTCATGAATATTTGAGAATTTCCAGTTACTTAATTTATTACATAAACCTAACAGCTAATAATCCGTAGTGTCGATATAGGAATAAAAAATTATTTTAAAAAATTTGACAACTAATATAACCACAAAAACTAATAATTCATTATGAAATACAAACTTGAAAGGTGGAATGCCTCGAAACCTGGAAATGGGAAGGATAATGTTGATAAGGCAGAGAAATGTGTCAGCAAGTATTCGATAAATCTGGAAATGTTTGAATTTCACTACATTCATCTGCCATGGCTTCTATAATATCTAAAAGAAGTTCACGACTCAGTTGTTTCAATCTTGGTAAACGTACTACCTGCAATAAGTAAAGTAATACAAATTATAAATTTTACAAACACAAAAAGTTGTTAATATGAAATAGCATTTTGAAAATTTAACCTTTTCAATATGATGTACAATAAGATTTAAGGCATATTTCTTTATATCCACTGCTTGCATTCGATCAGCGGCTTCAAGTATTTGAATAACATTTTCAAACGTAACGTTCATCTCGAGATTTTGCTTACAAAAAGCTTGCAGCCGGTTATTTGTAAAACCATAAAAGACTGGGACCGTAAAAAGATAAAGAGAATCTTCCGGCGGCATCGAAACATCTGCATAATATATATATCGCAAAAGTGAAAAAAAAGATTCTGACGACGGAATCATATCGCCAATTTGTATCTAAAACATGTTTTTAAAACATAAATCAATATGATCATTTAATTATATCTTTACATATTACTGCTCATAAAAATGATGATTTTTTTTCTTCAAAAATTCCGAATGCACGTGACATGTTTGTCTACAAATTTAACGGGATATCTTTGAACATTGCGATTCCTACTTTTTCAACTGAACGAAAGCATTTATTACGCTATCCACGCTAATTTATTATATAAATACAAAAAACTATCACAAGTATTTAGAAATTGTAAAATCTTTCTAAATAACTAAAGTATATAAATTTAGACAAAAATTACAACAAATTTTCTATTATTAACTATAAAAAGTATGTTTATGTTTATTTTATCTAATAATTTTATGCTCAGTGCGCAATGCTTGCGTTGCAATTACTTGGAATTACATTCATAATAAATTCATACATTGACTGTGTTATTTGCAGGCATGAACGATCGAAACAATCCTTCGAAATAACTACAACGTGCTGCTAGGATTGCTTTATGCGATGGTATTGGTACTCCATCCAGCATTAAAGTAATATCACAAAATTCATAACCATTTACATTTAAAAATGTTTTCATATCTTGCTCGAGTGTTGTACCTAAAATTTGTATAATATTCATTAGATATAATTTACATAAGTACGATCTCTGAAAAACGACATGAATCAAATTTTTATACATTTTTAATTTAATGAATACGTACCGATAGAACGTGTGATTTATTATTTAAAAATTATGAAATCAACATTACCTATGTCCGTTCCTAAGTCATATGGTTTTAGGAAATTTTTTGTCTGCGGCATCTGTTTACGTCTAATGATTTCAACCATCAATGGCTGATCGAGTACTTCAAATTCTTGACTCATGACTATTTGATTATAATTACTATCCTTTACAACAAAACTCAAACACAATTCTTTGATAAAATATAACTGAAGCGCCGCTGCGTTATGTAAGGCCTCCAAAACATTTACATGATTTATCGTAGCTTCAAGATAATGAACACAAAGCTGCTCCAAACGTTTCATATTAAACTGAACAGCCAAGCGATAAACATCCATCATTAGTAAAACTATTCTGTTACTCAAAGGATCTTCAATTTTCTTTGTCGGATCAATACGATCGGTATAAATATAATTGAGAACCATTTCGAAAGCTTCTGGTACCGCATCTTTAAGATGCACCTGTTTATTTAATCTTTTATAAAATCATTGTTTTAATATATAAAAAATAATATGATACTACAAATAAAAATAAAAAAAAATACAATATATAATTGAAATTAGATTATATATATATATATATATATATATATATATATATAATAAATAACATAATTTGCAATTATACTCAAAATTAAGTAATTAGTACTTTTGTGACGAATTAATTTCTGATTTATAATTAATTGACAAAACAAACTCTATACATATAAGAAAAATATTGAAATATATACTTGAAGTATTGATGAATTTTTTTTTGAATATTCCGAAGCTTTAAAGAATTTTTCAGAATTTTCTTTTTCCACTTTAGCTTGTCTGATTTGTTCCTTTAAAAATTTCGAGCGAGCAACAATCATGGCAATATGAGCTAGGATTTTCGTTTTATCTTCACCAATAATAAATTCAACATCGCAAAAAAGATGTAAATTTAAAATTCGACCAAAGTCATCATGCAATGTACATTTGGGATACGACGAAAATTGAAAACGAAACGTTTCACCAGATCGCACATTATTATCAACTGTGCCTCCAAAAATAAACATCGCATCACTTATCACTGCTGCTGCATGAAATAAACGTCCCGATGGAATCTGTACACAACAATAAAGGAATCGATTAATTATGGCTGCACATAAGATTTCTCCTCTTTTTTTTAGAATTGTCATGAGCGTAAAATTTTTGGTAATAACTCGTTCGACGTAGCCTGTGGATTTTGCAATTTAATAAATAGATTGTTACCTCACTGTCGGATGAGGGAGTGACGATATGCCAAGTTTGAGTATCGAGATCATAAGAGTGAAGATCATTAGGTAAACTGGAATCGACGGTACCACCGAAAACATAAAGATGACGATCGAAGCTGACCATTGTGTGACCATAACGACGTGCTGGTGGTGGTGGTGCACCTCGTAAAATGTGTTCGGTTGAAATACGTGTCCATCTGCAAGTGTTAATACAACATGCAATGTAATTTCTAAATTTTTTAAACAAGTAATTTAGAACCTTGTAATATAAATACCGTTTCTCTCGAAAATGAAATTGAAAGAGACTATTAGTCATTTTGGCACCGCTTTGTCCGCTAAATACAAACATTGACTCTCTGGCCACGGCTACCGGAAAGTTGCAGCAGGTAGGTGGACAATCTCCGGATTGAACAACTTTTTCCCAAAACTTCAGGTCTCCGGGCTAAAATTGGAGAGTTACCAAGTTATAAAAATTCTATAAATTTAATCATTTCCGTTGAAACAGCTTTTAAGATTTTCTTACTAGCAAAGATATTGTCCACATATCATTTAAACGAGCGTTACCATCGTAGCCAGCAAATATCCATAATTTATTATCATAGACTGCAGCTCCGTGAGCAGATCTAGCAACAGGAGTTCTAGGCAAATTATTAATTATCAAAGAATTAGAATAATCAAATAATTAATTAATTATTTCGTGTTTATGATTAATTGTGCAGAGATTTTAATGTCGATTGAAATACACATTATGTGAAATTCAATTTGAAGATAGCACCGATATAAGTTTTATAAACATTATAAATTTATATCTATGTGTAAAAATTTGTTCGCTATTTATAAATTATGTACACATGTCTATATATATATATAACATTCATCTGGACGGCAAAGGAGCAAGTTAATTATAAATTGAAAAAAATAGCGTGGACCCTTTTGTTACTTATACTTACTTTCCAAAAAATTTCCATTCTGTCCATTGCGCAGTTTTAAAGCGATATTCGAACAAATCATTTTTATTAGTTAAATTAGAATTGGAATGGATATCTCCTGTATAGCCTCCAAAAACGAACATCGAGGAACCATTAACTACAGCAGAATGATGATATCTTGGGGCGGGTGGAGTTCCAATGGCAAACGCTCGTCCCCATGATTTTTCTTTTACATCAAAGCGCAACAAATCGTTTAACATTCGTTTCCCATTGTCTCCACCAAAAACATAAATTGCATCTTTATAAGCAACGACGGTATGCTTACTACGCCTACAAAATAAACAAAGTTGAATATTAAATTTGAAATAAAAATGTCAATAGATACAATTTGTTTAACAACAATTAATATTAATAAATAATATTATATTATTAGATTTACCTAGCACCGACAAACTCATCACATTCTGGCATTTGTTGCCATCGATGGACAGTTTCAAATGGTCCGAAATCCAAGGTTAAACATTCGGTAGCAGCAGTGTTATCCATTATCAGTAATATTATTATTAAATCAATTCTTATACAATATTAAATACATATTCAAGTACTTTTGTCATGGTACATCCATAAATATTTGCAACAACCAGCAATGATTTTACGTGGATTTTCATACACACTCTTGGACGATTTTATTTAAAAAAATAGAATCGCTTGGTATCATCGATTACGAAAGCCAGCCCTTTCGACGATATTTTCACAATGCTTTACAGAATACATTCGCTTCGATCGTTTATTAAATAATATCTAATCCAACAATGCTATGCTTCTTAATGACAGATCGAGAAACAATGACAATAAAGTCATATTTCTCGAGTGGATAAAGGCTCCGTTGCCAAATGGCGACTGGCAAGGGCCAAGAATAGGTTAGGTAAAGCGAGATAGCAGAGCAGTGTACGCCAAAGTACTGGATTCGTAATAACCATAAAGCAAAGTTGGAGCCGGGAACGTTAAAGCTTAAACTTGGCCAGACCAAGTCGTAGAGTGTCATTAAAAATGCCAAAGAAAACCTGCGAATTGGCGGCTTGATGTCGCGGACGTTTGACACATACAATCAATGACTGGTTATACGAACTTTGCTAATAAAAGTAAAATTTAATTTTTCACGAATACCACAGCAGTACGTGGCTCTACTATTCTGTTTAAAGAAAATATTATAACCGTAATGTGTATATCGGTGAGCGCCATTTGAATGTCCGTAAGGGCTTTGTTATCTCGTTACCTTCCTTCAGGCTATAAGGCCAAGACTATTCAAGACTATTCATTGTTATTACATCGATGTTACATTTACATGGCCTTACGACTTTTACACTGCCCTTCCTAATCCGTCAATTTTTTAATTGATATCGAGACGTCCTTTATAAGATTAGCAAACAAGCCTGCCAATAATAACGCTCGGTTTTCAACCTACAAACCGTTCCATTGCTACAAATTGAAAATGCACGTAACAAGATTATATTATCTATGGGGAAATATGTAAAAAACCATCCAAATTATTCTTTCGTCGATTGTTTCATCTAGATAAGATTGCCCGATGGTATTAATAAGCTGAATTCGCATCTTGGATTATATATTCATGATTCGTATTTTATATTGTATGTTCATTATATTGTCTTTCATACAAATATCATATGGATTCACAGGAAAAAAGTTATCTGTTTGTCCAACAGAGTATAATGGTACTTCCAAGGGCATTATGATACGCAATAAATGATTTCCTCTACTTTCTCCTTCTCGATTTCGAACCCTTACAATCTTTTTACCTATTGAATTCCAATTCAAAAGGTTTTTGTTCTTTTTTTAATACTATTTGATAATGTAAACAAATAAATTGAATATAATAATTAAACTTTAGGAAATGAAAGGAAATAGAACGTTTTTCTTGGTAATCTAAATATATTGTGCATTAATATTTCGCAGCTAAATTTATATTGTTGAACTAATTTAATAAACGGAATATAAATACTAATGAATACGAATTGTAAACAACGATTCGAAATAACTAGAATAAGTAAGATTAATTTACCTCGTTGTGACAATCGATATTTATTTAAATATTTTCAAATATTTTTATCGAATTATAATTTTAACTAAAATATAATATTATCGTAGGTGCAAATCAGAGGAAAAATTCTGTAGAACTGATTTGATACATTTGATACAATTGATATAGGAAAGTCTGGAAAGTGAGATGGGTATAATTTAAATATTATATATATATATATATATATATATATATATATATATATATATATATATATATATATATATATATATATATATTTCTATTATTATACTTTGAAGTATTTAAAAATTTACAGTAACAATCTCAATACTGTATAATTTAGAAGTTAGTATTACAAAGGGTAATATTTTTGTACTGATCAATAAATTAAATATACATGATAAGCAAAAGGCGATAATGTCAATGAAATTTATATTGTACGAAAGAAAAAATAAAATTATTGTGCATAATATCTTGTTGGCAAGAATAAAAAGAAATATGTTTTTCTTCTCTCTGTTTGTATATAATACATTACAAATTGCATCTACGAGTGATATTATAATTTGGCGTCATAAAGAACAATCTTTTCAACCGTTGTTTAACTTTTCAGTTTTTGCAGAACTAAGAAAGAACTACATGAATAAAATTAGAGATTATGAGTTTCATAATTTTCAGAGAGAATCTGTAGTTATCGCATATTATCAGGTAAGCAATAAAAATAATAGAGATTAGATAAAAATACGAAAGGATTTTAATAATAATAGTAACAATAATAATAATAATAACAACAATAACAACAACAACAACAACAACAACAATAATAATAATAATAATAATAATAATAATAATAATAATAATAATAGTGAATAATTTTTAGGAACCAAATATTGTAAATTATATAGAAAATGATACCAAAATTTCTGGTGCTTATGGAGAAATTTGGACAATTTTATCTAATTATTTGAATTTTACGTATGTTTTTCAATTCATTTATTAGTTTTATAATGCTTGTTGAAACAGTATGAATTAATTTAAAATACTATAAGTATTTTTTATTTTTATTTCTTTCTCAATATTACTAAATAAAAATTTTTATTCAATTATTGTATTTTCCAAATTATTCAATAATATATACTACACTTATAAACGTTTAAACTTTATGAAATTTTTATGATTTTTTTTTAATTTATAATAATTTATTCTTTCATATACATATTATACAGATTAGTTCCCTATAAACTAAAAATAAATAAATTTGGTACTGCGCTTGAGAATGGTAGTTTTGATGGAATATTGGGGTTAATACAACGAAATGAGTCGCAAATAGTTGCTCGAATCGTTACATACATAAATAAAATACACTTATTAGATTTTACAATTCCATTGTGGAAAACTCGGTAAGGAAATAATTAAGCAACAATTATTTTAATCATCGATAAATGATTTTTTTTATATGAATATTATTTATATTTTCCGATAAATTTCAGCTATTATATATACATAAAACCAGAATGGAAACATGATAAATCTTGGATCTATCACTTATTTACCATACGACTATGGTATTCATATTTCATATTATTATTAGTATTGAGTATAGCAGGATATATAAAAGAAAAATATTCCATTACTTCTTCTAATGAACAAATTCATTTTAATTTGCAAGACCATATGTTTTACACAATTGCGATTGCTTCTCAAGGTTTGTAGTCGTAAGGTGTTATATTATCACCATATTATACTACATTATTTATATTTTCATTTTGTCACTATATTCTATATAACATATATACCGTAGTTTTAAAGTACCATTAATTATAAAATAGATAATGAGATTATACATTATAGAAAGTTTATAATAAGGAATAAAAATTAATACCAAATGATTGAGTATGAGAAAAAACAGTATTGATAATGAAAACACTATTTTAATATTATTATTTTATTATTATCTATTATTTCTATAATATTATTATACCTAATATCACTATACTAAATAATTATTCTTAATTTAGATTAAAAAAAAAAACAAAAAAGAAACGTATACAGCAATTACTAATCTAAAAATATATTTAGCATAATTGTAGCTGGCGACATCGAAAAGAAAAAAATTAATTCTTAATTGCTATTGTGAAGTCACATAATTTGCTATTTAAATTTATTGGAAATATCAGAATTTATATATCTCATTAAAAAGGAATACATTTCATATTCTTTTAAAGAAATGAAAAATAACAAAATTAACGTACTTTTTGAATCTTATGTACTAAATACTATATAATAAATTAAAATGATAACGTAAACTGGTAAAACAAAATTTTCTAAATCAGATAAGTTAAACTGATAACAAATAATTATGAAATTTAATCTTACTAATAATATAATGATTATCATAATCAAAAATTAGTTCAACTTTATTCTCAGAATTTGAAAAAATTAAATACGATTTACAGTTTATTATCGAAGTATTTTCTTAATTTATAAATTCTTCTCATTTAGAAGCTAGAATTCAAATCATTAAGTAAGAGTAAAATTACTTTAAAGTGACTCAACAATCATAAATCAGTTGTAACATATTCTACTCTCGTAGTTTCAGATGTTTAAGCACCTTCGTGTTAATACATAATCGTGTTAATTTCATTTACTTAATGGGTTAACGAAATATATCGAAGGATCAATAACTGTTGAAAATTTTGTTTCTAATGTTAAATAATTATTTTAAATTCACAAATATTAATTAATATATTACACTATATACTATATGCCAGATAATATAATATTTTAATATGATATTTTTAATAAAATTATCATGTTAATATTACTCTCCGGCATTTTTTACATTTATTAATAATCCAAGCTTTTAGACTATATTAAACAAATTATTATCTCTTAATTATATAACTGAATATTTTCATATAAAGAATTATATTCGTCTAACTAGTTAATATTCTTACTATCTAAGATTTTGATAAATTGAATATTTAACATACTTACAAAATAAATATATTCATATTTAAAGAAATAAATTATTAAAATATATGATTTATTTTAATAAATAAATTATATTAATGACATTTATAAAATTAATATAGGATGTATCTCTTCTAAATTTTATAAAAAGTCCCGATTTATTTATCTATGTACAAGCATATTTTCGTGGATGGTTTTAATTGCATTTAGTTCGCATACGATTTATCATATGATGAATAAAAAGTTTGATCTACCGTTTATGGATTTGCACAGCTTATTTCAAAATAGTAAATATGAACTACTTGCTTTCAAAGGTTCAATGATAAACCAACTTTTGCAGGTAATTAAAAATAAAATTAATTATTAGATCACACATTATTAAGTAAACACTATATAGATATCAATGAAAAATAATATATATATATATATATATATATATAGACACAAATATATATTCGTATATATGTATGAAAATATGATATGTACTAACGAATATATATTAATATGATGTTTTAGACGTCGTTCAAACTACTGTCTGACTTAATTATATTGATTTTTACTCGAATAATTATAAGTAAATTATTATACCACATTATTTATGTAAATTTATTAATATAAATGAGACTATAGTTGAGATTTTATATACATCAATATTTTATTATTTTTATAAAAATTTATGAAAAGTATTTTCAAATTTTTTAAATTTATACAGAAGATAATTGATTAGATTAATAAACGTATCTGCGTATGCAGATTTTTTAATTTCAATTGAATTACTTATTTTTTCATCAAATCTGATCGCTTCTCTAATTTTATTTATATAACAAAAATTTCAAATATTTATGTTATTAGAAAAAGATCGGAAAATATGTCATGAACTCTCGAAATGCTGCTCGAGTTTTTTATACTTCTTCAACATTTGAACTATATAATGAAATTTGTTTCTCCAAGAAAAAGAGACTCGCAATTTTTGAAGCAGAGGATCACCATGAAACTATGGGCAAATTATTTTGTCAATTAGTTCCGACAAAAAAATCTTATTTCATAAGTTCTATAGCATCCGGTGTTAAACGAGGATATAGATATAAGCGCAGTTTTGACATTGGGTATATAAATTATTAACAAAACGAGTCTATGTTTAAAATAAATAATCAGATATATTTTAAATAATCAGATACACCATATAATTATATTTGAATAACTGCCTAATTTACGTATACATAAGTACTGTTTTGATTTGTGTGATAATTCTCAGAAAGAAATTTCAAAATTTTCGTTCATAGTTTATATATAGTTGTATAATAAAACAATATTTTATTATTTACAGAATTATGAAATTAGCTGAAACAGGGCTTATAAGTGCAATAAGAACCCGTTGGATAAATTGGAAAGTAGTGGGAAATAATGACATGCCTTTTCAATCAATTGATATAAGTCAAGTGTATTTGACCTTCATAATCTTATTATTAGGATATATCGTTTCTATTATCATTTTAGTAATTGAATATATGACATATTTTAGAACCAAAAATGTAAATTTAGTTCAAAATTAGTTCAAATAGAAAAATAAACACGCAATTACTATTTAATAAGTAGATATAATAATTAAAATATAAACTCATAATGTTTTAATTAGTCTGTTATAAATATTAAAACAACAGTTATAAAGAAAATGGAAGTTAATGAAAATTTGCATTAATGAGATACATCAATGAAATCCTCTGTCTACATTTTAATAAAATCAAAATGAGCATTCTTAATATGAATATTAATATGAACGTCATGCAAGAAAACGATAACTCATACAATGACGAGGTGATATTTCTCATGTTATCATAATCTAATAATTTATTCCTTTAATTACAATCACGTAGTCACAAATGTGATAACCTAAATTATTATTATTATTTTTTTTTTTTTAATTTATATCGAAAAACAATAATGTCTTTAGAAATTGTTCAGTAATTAATAAATTAAGCATTGGAAATACTTATTATTCTTATTATTTTTCTTTTCATTATATGTGGGTACGTGCGCACGCGCGCTTCGTATCCATATATTGAGTTATTTTCTATTAATTTTATATGATTAATATTATAGAAATTAATTAAATGATTTCTTAAAACATGTTGCTTTCATACAAGTGGCTAGTTTTTTTCAGACATATTCTATTTCATTGTTTGAATAGATAATATGTCTATTGCCTAGATTATTGGTTAGCCTTTGTTGTTTAATCTGGAATTGTCGATTTAAACTTTCCAAATATTTCCACATGAGTTTCGTTTTATGACTAGCTTTATCGATTATTTCTTTTTCTTTATTAACATTTTATTTCGAATTCTCGTTGAATATTACTCAATATCTTGATAACTGTCTCTATATCATCAAGTAAAACACGCTAATCCTTTTATTGACAAATATATCCAGTATGATAATTTTATATCCGTGATTTCTATGGATATGGCAGAAATTAAAAATTCTGTTTGAATAAAAGAAAATTTACGTTTTAAAAGTAATGTCAATTTATTAAATATCCCCTCTAAGAAATATATAAAATTTTATAATTAACTCTAATTTTTATGTTATCAGAATGGGCAATACGAAATTGCCTGGGTCCTTGCAAATATATATTCTTATTTTATATTTTATAAACAATTTAAGTATTTGATAATAAAATTCACAACAAGAAAAATTACTTTAATATGTAAAATTACTTATATTAGCATATTCAATCAATTGATTAGAATACTATATTTTTTATTTAGTAATTTATTGAAGAAATTATTTAAAAACAATTTCATATATAATATATAATAAATTAGTCAGTATTGGATCAAATATAAATACTGTTCTAACAATATAACTCTTGATTTCGTTGAAAAAGTTTTTATCAAATATGATTTTAATGAATATTTTATTGAATCGTGGAAAAATTTATTTTACAATGCTTTAAATTTTATGTTACGTATTAATGTTCATTATACATGCAAAACAATTGAACGTACTTGTGTTAAATTCGTATTATTCATTTATAATAACGGATAATGCTATCTTAATATCTGCGTTATATCTATTAATGTATTACATATAATAAAGGAATATTATAAATATTATAATATTCATTATTCTATATATATTTATAATATCACTATAGATTTAATTATAAAAAAAATGGTTAAGTAATAAGTGATATAAAAAAAAAAAAAAAACTAGTAATAATGGCGTATATATTGTGAAAATTAATAAGTAAATATTATAAAAAATATAATGAAAAAAATTGATCGTCATTTTAATGTACATATGTTTAATTTTGAATGTTAATTTTTATTTAATAATAAAAATTTATTCATCTAAATTTCTTTTTAATTATTATTCTTATTACAAAACTTATAAATATATACATTATTTATATTATTATATAATCAGTTTTCGCTATTTTTTATTTGCAATTTATATTGTTGTAATATACGCTTTTACAAGTTTCTACTTTTTTGAAAGGAAGATACTTTCGAATGGTCTGATTATGATTCGCCAAAATTTTTTTATAAAACAGTTTTTTTTCATAAAAGTACTAAAATTATCAATATATTCCTAAGATAATTTCGCATTTTTTATTTAAATCTCTTTACTTTTTAAAGATTATTATGCACATCATAACGAATATCGCGACTACTGTAAATAATCTAATGCGGCTTATTTATTTTTCACAAACATTAATTTGTTTAATTTATTTAATTAATTTATATTATATATTAATAATAACAAAATTAATAAAAATACATCAATTTTACATAGAAAATTATATAAAACTTCCTCGGTACAGTGTATGAATATAGAATAAAGAAAAGTATATAAAAGAAAGATACTAAAAATTAATATTTATGTTAATCACATATTTATCATTTACAATATATATATATATATATATATATATATATATATATATATATATTTGAAATAGTAATAAATTCTAATCTTTCAAATTATTTTTAAGCAATTAAATGTATTAAATATATATATATATATATATATATATATATATATATGTATATAATTCGTTGCTTTTAACATGGATATCATTTATGATTTAAAAGTAAGAAAGATTTATAAGTCCATGTTAAAAAGTAATAAAATGATTGTACCTATTGAAGTTGACCTATAAATTTATATCATGTAAATTTGTATTTTCTTAATATCATAAAAAATAAATTATAAAATCATAGAAGATGATATGGAAGATCATGTCTTATACATTCTTTAAAATTTAGTTAAGTGCTAATGAAAGATATACATATATAGTTGGTCAAAACGTTTAGTTAACCTACCATCGTGAAAACAAGATATGTATCTTTGGAGATTCAATATTTAACGTCTAAATTCTATATGAAGCCTTCACTGATGAAACTTTTTTATTTATAGCTTTTACAATGTCCTACAGATTATTTCAAATGTCAGTGAGTCGTAGAAGATTACTATACAACTATTGAGTAGGAGTAGTAATTCTTTTTTTTTCGGTATCGTATGTTGATTAATGTAATTTTATATTTATATTAAATCTGTAGAAGCTAACATATCTGTGTTTAAATTATTAATATATATATATATATATATATATATATATATGTATATATAATATTGTTAGCTTATGTATTCAAAAGTCTTTAAATTGTTGCTGTAATTTAGAAAATTTCCAATTATTTTATAATACAAATGCTAATTTCTTTTCTATCATAATGTGATAGTTTTTCTGCAGCTGTTTTATAAAATTAAAATAAATTAAAAATAAATTTAAGCCATTTGTAGTTAATAATGATATTGGAGCAATTATATTTAGAAATAAATTTATCTTTAAGCAGTTCACAATTTCTTAAAAGAAAAGTTAATTGTAAAATAAATATAATTTGATATTCGAGGTAAAAACAATTATTATATTTACTATATTCAGTTATAATCACTAAATAAATTTACTAAAACCACTATAATTAAACTTGTGTATGGAATTATTAATGAAATATTCATAATAATAATAAGTAATTTTTGTAGATTTTTAAATGCATATAAATTTTTATAAATTTGTAAATAATAATTGCAATATAGTAGTGAGAACAATATTCGTTAAATGAAATTAATTATTTACAATTACTTAATACATAATTACTATAAATGAAAATTGATTAAACTACATTTATTTCGATTGTTAAGATAAGTCATAAACTGCTTGTTATTTATGAATTATTATTTTTCCACTTCTATATAATTTTAGCTTTAATACTATTTTCATATAGAGATATATCATATTAAAAGTCAATTTACAACTTATTGAAATATTAATTATATGTGTTAAGTATTAATATAAAGGAATAATATAAATTCAATACTTTTTGTTCAATGATAGTAATGATATGTTATTAATATTATTAATAAGAGTATGTGTAGCTTCGCTAACAAGTGTAATAACAAACTTATTTGTAGTTCATTTCTAATTTTAATAATTCATGAGCTTTCGAAACTACATCGAATTTTTTAAAAGCTTTACGTAAATAGAAAACTAATAATATTTAGCGTAGTATAGACTTGAAATAAACTAATAAATATTCTTCGCAATTATTTTACTTATAATATGTACATAATTATAGTTTATATGATATCATCGCTTTCATCTTTTAGTAAATAAATATGCATTACTTATGTTTAATTTGCATTATTTTAGCGTCTAAAAAGTCGCCTATAAATAAAATAGCCAATTGAAACAACATCTTACTATGAAATATACATGTTACAATGTAAATATAATAATGATATAATAATTATTTTATTCACACTGTCTAAGTTATTGTAAATATTAAATAAATTTATATAAATTTTGGATTTAGATTTTGGAGTTTTTCATAAATATATTGACACAATAATATCTATTATTCTATTATTAAAGTAATGAGTAAGGTCTATAGATCAATAAGGTATAGATATAGGATATAGATCATTGTAAATATCTATTGACAATGGAGTTATAGTTAAGATTATCTTGATTACTGCAATTTATATATTGCTTGGAAAAATATGAATTATTACTATCATTTCGACTCATAAATAATAAAGTATTATTATATGGTTTATTACATGTCTAGTACTAAAAGAATCAATAAATGCATAAATAAATTATTGATTTTCTATTGTTTATGTGAAAACGGTCATTTATTTCATAAGATATAATTAATATTTTAAAATAAATGTATAATTTCTATTTAAAGTAATAAAAAACATATAATATATATTAGAATGTTAGTTATTAAATGTATCATGTATATAATACTTATTTCAAATTTAATAACAAATTTTGTAGAACTATCGTAAATAAACTTTTCAGAAAAGGGTTTAAATACAATTTAATATAATCTTATATAGTAATACATATTTCAGATTATTCTTTACGAAAATTTTTACGAATAGATAGTATATGTTAATTATAGTTTTATTGAAAACATTAGACGAATAATTATTGTTTGCAAATATATATATATATATATATATATATATATTAGAAGTTGCAAAG